CAAACCTAGAGCTCTGATACCATGTTTTGGAATGGTATAATACTGATGTGTTTCATTCTATTGCCAATGGACATATTTATACAGTAAGCTGCTGTAATAAATAGAAAGAAAGAAAAAATAGAAAGAAAAGAAAATAGAAAGAAGAAAAAATAGAAAGAAGAGAAAATAGAAATCAATCCTTCCACAATCCTAGGAATATATACAATTCTATTTTCAGATCTGAACCAGTAACCCCACGTTTTCTAACACTAACATTTATTTTTCTGCTTCCTGCAAATTTGTCTGTGGTCATTGGTTAGGGGCTGTGTACCACCTCTGGATTGTTCTCCAAATATTACATTGGTCTGAATAGTTGACTCTCTAGGAACTGCTTAATCACAGTTTTATTGACTAAGGGTCAGCCAAATTGGATGTTTGGGATCACACAGCTGTTTATCTTTTCAGCTGTGGCCCATCCAGGAAGTTCTCTATCCAGAGTGATGAAATTATTGTTGCTTTAAAAGGTGAATCCTACCATCATGGTTGGTTGCCCTTTCCACTTCATATTTTTCCACATTTTTTTTTTCCATCTGGTAGTTCTAACTTTGTTGAGATAACTGACTTCAATACATGGATGACAATGCAGATTTTCATGCTGGCAGTGAAAGAATCTTTAGCCAATGTAAGGCAGATTCCTCTGACTCATCCATCCTATTTTTTTGGTAGAGTTAGGGAGAGATGGATATGACAATCCACCAACTCCTTAATTTTTCATTTGGTCTTCACATTTTTACTATGTTGCCACTTTTTGATATATCAGATTATTCTAGATGCTAGGGGCCATTACTTGGTGTAATGGTAAAATCTCAGGCTGGCAAGCGTGAGAAGAATGTGGGTTGGAGTCTGAGGGTGGCCACTTTGTGCGACAAAATGCCAAAGGTTAGGACTGTACGTCTGTGTACCCAGTCTGCCCCTCCCAAAACCCTAGATAGCTGGAACCAACATTGGGTAATGGCCTAGATCATTCTAGACGCTCATACATATGGTATTCATTGTACAGATGGTTTTTTGTGCAGGCTTTTGGGTACAAGTTTGACTGTTTTGCAAAGAATTTTGGAAAATCATTTCAGAGCACCCTGAGGACCTTACAGTTGATCAATGAAACATCTCACAATAAGGAAAGAAACGACTGCAACTTAAGATTACAAAATTGTCATCAAGAAATGGTACCACCTGATTCTTTCGATAAACAAGATCCCATAAGCAATTGTGACATGAAAAACTGCCATATTGAAGCCATCCCACCTCAAGCACCATTCAGTACTGTTGAAGAAATGCAAGAGAGTGTGATATCAGAATCTATCAACCAGGACCTCATACTGCATGGACAAATAAATCAACAGTTGGCTTGTATTTCATCAAGCACAATGGGTTCTGGTTTTAATCAGTCCATGGTTAGCACCCTTAAGCAGTCTGTCATAGAGCAAGCTCGTTCTAATGATCTCAAGGCATTTGAGATAGGTCTAACTATGGAACGTATGAAACTGAAAGAGTCACAGCTAGTTCTCAACTCTGATTCAAATCGTTTAGAGAGGTTTAAATTATCCATGGGTATTTCGAAAGCATCCTTCAAAGCTGAGAAATTTAAGAACCAATTAGAAGAAACAAGGCATGCAGAGCTGCTCAAGAAGTGCATAGATTGTCTTGTAGCTGGTCTTGTTATCATGTCAGCCTCTCTTGCATATGGGGCTTATGTTTATTCCTATGATCGGATCATGGAGGCCACTGAGTCATGTGTACCTTTGTCCAAGGTTGGTACAATTTCCTGTTCTTGAGTTCTAACTGATTAAAGGTGTCCAGAAATGATACCATAGGGTAATGCCTGAATTCTGTTGCCTTGTTTATCTAAGAATAAATTGTTGTACACTCCTGATAACTTTTTTTCTTCCAATCAATATACAATAGCCACCATCACATTCACATTAACTGGGTTGTAGCTTACCCACAGTTGCTTCACTTCTCCATGAATTGAGTTTAACTGAATCAGAGCACATATTGCATTTAAGTGGATGACAGACTGTGGGCAACGTCATCCATGGTGGATAGACGCTCAGGTTATGCTTCCTCCCAATTTTTCTTTTTTCTTATAAGATGTTGATTATCTTTTTATTTTGTTTCAGGAGTCTAAATCTTGGTGGGTCCCTAAGCCAGTTTCATCTTTCAATTCTGGCCTACAAATGCTAAGATGCCAGGTTATAGTTGTCAGCCGGATGCTGTTTGGTATTTTAATGATTCTGGCAATTGCTTATTTGCTTCTGCAACGTTCTTCAACTTCTAAGCAGGTCATGCCAGTGACTTTCATCCTCTTGCTATTAGGGGTTTTCTGTGGTTTTGTGGGCAAGCTTTGTATAGATACATTAGGAGGGAGTGGATACCATTGGCTCTTCTTTTGGGAAGCTTTATGTCTGCTGCATTTCTTTGCAAATATCTGTACTTCAGTTTTGTTTTCTGCCCTGCATGGACCTATCTCTGTGTCCCCCGGAGCTGAAGCTAAGACAATATTGCCGTACTCTATGCGAAGATTTGCCTTTTATGCTATTGCTCTTCTGTTTCTACCATTACTTGGCGGTTTGATGCCATTTGCTAGCCCCAATGAGTGGAAAGATCACTTCTCATTACTGATATCAGAAAGTGTTGTAGTTTATAGGGAGTAGATGACTGTACAGGTGTGCATCAGAGGAAAAGAGGTTTTGAGTGATGCTTGCTTCTTATTTATAGGTTATTTCTGCGACATGGATAATGAAAAGGAATATAGGTATTCAGCACTGCATATCCTGGTATCATTTGTGTAACTTAAACAGTAATACATGTTTATAATTATAAGGAAGAGTCCCTCTTTCTGTCTTGATTTGTTGAATAGTAACTGCAAATATAGTAATTGGCATTCAGTATCTTGATCTTATTACTATTCATTCTATTTCTTGATGGGGCAAGGAAAGGATTTTAGCCAACTATAGAATGTCTGTCACCTTGACATGATGGGGTCTTACCATTGTGAGGATGTGTTTCCCCTCAGCCTAAGACAAAGATGTTTTGGAATCAATGTAGTGAACTTCTGAGGCGCTCGTTGCATCTACCATCTCTGGGTGAACTTGTTACTTTGAGGAACTAGCTCCTTGCATGTATACCTACTCACATGAACATGCACGTGTACAAACAAGGTTCATGTGGAACATCTTTCCACAACCCAATCTCCGAAAAAAACATCTCATACAGCCATATTTTACCTTTGACGGAGTGTCCAGCAGTCGCGGCTTAGAAATGAGAGTTGTAAGAACGAATGCTAAGGAGAAATCCTTGGAAACCACGATATAGTAAAAGAGAGCCAGAAAAGCCTATTGAGGAGAAGCCAAAAATTTGGGCTTCTTTCTTCCTTCGTTTCAAATAAGTTCTTCTAATGATTTTTCCCAAAAATGTCCATTTAAAATTTTGTATACGGCAAAACTATCCTGAAACCAAGGTTAAAAAAATCGACATGTATTGATTCATATCGTATCGGAAGCACCCTAGAAAGTTGAGTTAAGAACTAAGATTGAGAACTTCTATTAGAGTCTAAGGGATGGGAAGAAAATTGGGTTGGGCCCAATCCAAAGCTGGGTTGAAGGTTGGATTGGGTTAGGGTAAGGATTGGCTTCAACCTAACCTAACCCGGCCCAACTTGTAGCCCTGGTATTTGACTATTTTCTTAAGCCAAATAACCTTTCTTGTGGAAGCAACTTTGAGACCTCCCAAAAAACTGTTTCTAATCTCATTTTGATCATGAGTCGTCTTCACTAAGACAATGGACCTAAGTCCTTTTTGTTTATAATAATTTTTTATTTTCTCTTGAAAAAGAAAAAATCTCCATAGTAGCTCTATAAATGGTCTATTAGTTAATCCCCTTTTAAGCAAAATAAGACAAATACACATCATAGTGCAATTATAAGGGACTATTATACATTGAAAAACAACATGAAACAAAATTAGAAAGTCATGCAAATCACATAATTTATCATCAAAATAAAATGAACAATACAAATTAGTGCCGTTTGGCAAGTTTTTTTTGAAAGATCTTCCATCAGATTTGACAACCAAAAGACAATGTGAGTTTTTGCATTAAGATCTTAACAGCTTGAAGACCATTTGGTTAAGACACGTCTTCCTATGTATCTTTCTGCATGAAGACTCGATGAAAAAAGTTGAAAAGCTCTATTTGGAGCTTCCCGAAAATAGCCCAAAATAAATATTGTCTTTTTTGGGAGGCATATTTTGACAATTAAATCTTTTCCCAACCAAACAAGAAAAAACCAAAACGCAGGCTACCAAGCTTGTAAACATCCAACAGCCCGCAAAAGAAAAAACACACCAAACAGGGCCTTAAATTATGAGAGAACGAGGTTTGCCATCTTGCTAAACTTCCACACTCCACTTTTTAAATTGGAGTCCAATTAAAGATGCAAATGGATCAGTTCGGATTCGAATCACGGAAAGAAGAAGGGAATTCTATTTGATCTACCGCCCAAGAGTGCCCTATTAGAGAAGGGCTGCATAACTTGTTCCCTGACTTCCCCTAAAAACTGCGAGATTTACTTTCCTTTCCAAAGCTGCCAGCACCCGGAAGCGAAAGGAGTTTAGTTTATCTAAAAGTCAAAGTCACCCTCTCCCGGAACAGAACAACATGGAAAGGAAATCATTTCTGATCCGCTTGCTACCTTAAAGAGGAAATCTCTCTCTTCCCATACTGCCATGACCTGAAAACGCTACTGGGAAGCAAAGTAGGATTCAACAAGCGAAAAGCGGTAGAGTACCGAACGAGATTGAACAACGGCATTCCTGGAGTTTGATACGTTTCGGTTTTCCGTGGACCCGAAAGACCATGATTGGAAGGAAATATTTGCTTTCATCTAAGCCAAGAGTCCGTAACCCACTATATTCGAATCCGATTTGATAATGTTTATGTTGGATCTGATCCGATCCAAAGATCTGATTGGATATGATAAGATTCGATTTGAATTTGAATCCTATCGGGAAGTCAGATCTTCAGATCTGATCCAATCTGACTTGTTTTCTTTAAAAATAAAAAATATTAAAAGAAAAATAAAATATACTAATTTAAATAAAGTAAAAGCAAAAATAAAAGTATTTTTTAATTATTTTCATCATATATATACATATTTTTTATAAAAAATAAATAATATAACAAATTTATAAATAAATAGTGATGATGCACAATCTGGCCGGTCTTAGCTGTCGATGATCTTGCCTCTGAACTGAGTAACAGGGACCTGAAACAGAAGGAGAAGAGAAGCTCC